GCCAAGGAAAAACTMTAAATCATTTGACACAGAATAATATCTCAACTCTTTGACAGAGAAAGTTATTATATCTTATAAAGTGACAGGATTCCCATCAGAAGGGAACCTTGCCTTGTGCCAAAAAAAAATGTAACATTCTTAAAGCCCCATTAACCTCATGCAAGGCCACTCACCTCATGTCCCAGGATCATAAAAATAAGAYTGATGATTGTCACAGCAAGAATTTTGACATAGTATTGATTGGATTAGACATTGTGTAGACAGTACTTATGATAAATGTGACTGAAAGAAGATGGCAAAATTTCAGACACTGTACAAGTTTTGGGTARCTACCATGTAAAAAACATTCACAGATCAGCTGTCACACAGTAGCAGCTGATAATTCACCCGAAAGATTGAGACACATGAAAGATTGCAGGATTTTGAGAATTACAGTGACATATAAATGCCATATCAATGTGATTGAATGGTTATTTTCAATTGAGTTACAGTGTGTTCTGAACCTCAGAATAAAAAAAAGCATTATATCTGCCTTGTCAATAACTTGTTTTACAATGCCTAGCCTAAAATCTTCTCTGATTCACTTATTTTATAATAATTAGGATAACTGAATAATGTAATTTCCCTTCTTTAACTATCTGCCCATTCTATTTTTAGTAAGAATCAGTCTACTGCTGGTTTTGAAGAGCACTTTCAAGATGTTCAGAAACTTTTTCTCTATGTGGAATAATTTTTTTTTTTGTTTAAAATTACCCTGTTATCTCTGGTTTTATTCAATGATCAGGTAGACTTGTATTRACAAATTAATCTGAAAAAGATGAACTGTGAAAAAGCAACTCCTTGAATATAACTCTAAGGAGTTCTTGGAATACCAAAAATGCAGGGACTTCACATAAATACTAGAATTTAAGGGGCAGCCTTTTAATCTGGTGTTAACTATAGTGGCACAAAGGTGGTAAGTTTCATTGTAGGATCTTGAACAAATGCAAGAATTAAAAAAATCTCTTGAAGGGAATAAGAATTATGTTTGGAGTGAATTAAAAATAGCATAATTTTATTCAAGTTTTGCTTTTTAAAGTGAAAAGTCAGTTATACTRCAATGCTAATCACTACACTATTGAAACAAATTCAAATTAATTCAAAAATTCAAATTAATGAATCAAACAAAATTTTACATTTCCTTTTGACATTCAAGAACAAAATATTTTGACATTTWAAAAGTAAGTCTTATTTTACTGTCAAATGGGAATCCAATGAAAAAAACTGATTGATTAGGGAARGTAGGTTCCTCCTCAGAATTTAACAAATTTTGATGAAACAGGTTAAGGAATTTTTGACCAGCATTACTGACAAAGTATGCAGGCCTAAATTTGCATCTCAATCCAAGACCTCACTTAGTGAATCAGGCTGTTGGACCAAATCTTTTCAAGTTTCTTGTAAACTATTTGTATTGTAACATTAAAAGAAAAATTTAGCTGATTTTCCAGAAAAAAACCAAAAAACAAACAACAACCCCCCCATCACTATTCAGATTATACTCAAAGAAAGCAGTGATTGATATCAATGAAGTAAAAGTTCATTCATCTGTATTGTAACAAGGTCATACTACTGAGGAGAAAAGCCCAACACACCAATTTCTCCACAAAATTCTCTCAGGCTCCCTAAATTAACAAGTTCTTTCTTMTTTTCATTGAATAATAGCACTGAATTTAAACATACGGAATTAAAGTTCAACTTAGATGGAATCAATCTTCCTGCATTTGCTTGCTTACATATGTGCACTCGATAAACATATTTATATCTGTCTGAATCAAAGTTCTAGCTCTTAACATTCTGAGATAAAAAGAGAAGTTTAGAACTCATTCATATTTACTGGAAWAAAACTCAACAAAACAAGAAACCATCACACTGACAAACCCTATACCACACCCTTCACAACAGAAAATCTCATGGCTGAGCAGAATGCTCGAGCAATCACCACTTTCTCTCTGCAGGTACAAATAGCTTAAAGTATGTGGGGTTTTTTTGTACACTTAATTTAAATAGACTGATAGTCCTGAAGATTGGCAATTTGTATTTTCTTATTGGCCAGCACAACTTGGCTCATAAAAATGATTTTCACCAAAAAAGTAAGAAGTGYTCACTTCCATGTCCAAAAAAGCAGCTTATTAATGCAAGTTTCTATTTCCCTTTACAGCATGCAAGTTTTCACCCTAGGTAAAAAACAACCAACCAAAAGTTTATTTCAAAGAGGTTYAACAGCAGCTAAGTATTTTCATATYYACATTAGAATAAAAATTGACCTGAAAACTTCAAAATCTTTCCTCTTCACTCAGTTAGACCCAGTAAATAATTTTCCACGTTTATTAGACTGGACACCTCACATGAAGCTGCTTCTTTACCATCAACACAGCGATCACCTTTCTATAAATAACAAAGCCTGACAATTATCACTTACTCTTTGTATGAGTCATATTTAAAGWGAGCCCTGAGGTGCTTCTCAGGGAGTCTCTTTGAATCATGAATCAGAAAGAAAAGAAAGCAGCCTCTGAAATATCCCTGTACCCAGACTCTAGAACGCATTGTTGCCTATTTATAGTTTCAAGCTGTCAGGCAGTTTCACACAATGGAAGTCAATGGTCACAGAGAAGTTTCTCTTCTTCAGTGGAATTTGYAAAATTAAGAGAACGTGATAATGGGAAAGTTCCATACACACACACGAAACAGAAAAGGTCAAACCTCCTTATTTCAAAATCAACTGAAAATCCATAATCTGAACAAAAATGGGGAATAAGAGCCAGCAGGCTCCCTATGGCACAAGCCCAGGCTGGGCAGAGATCAGCAAACCCTGACAGGCATGAGAACAGCTTCTACCTCAGCTGTTGCTGCACAGCACACCCTCAGAGCCTCTCAGGCCACAGATTTTAAGCTATTACTTTATTTCTCATTAACAGCTTCCAGGTCTCGCCCATGTTTTATTCATTTTCCAGCCAGGGCTACAGTAAGGCTTTTACTCACCTCAGCAGGACCACAAGAAGTTTCCTTCCTTATGGACAGAGAGAAAACAGAATGCTTTCAGACCTGATGGAGCTGGAGACAAGCAGCAATTAGCTGACAACAGGCTGACACGTTCTTCACCGCTCTTGCATAAAACATTGAGCTGTGCTCCTCTGGCCCACCTCAGCTTTCTAAATTTATTTATTTATTTTCAGGCTAACTGCTTAGTAGCCTAGCAAACTGCTGTTTTGCAGAGACAAAATTCCATTTTTTTTTTTTTTTTTCCCCTCAGGGTATGAAAGAAATAGATAAAGCTCTGGAAAGTTCTTTACCTTCTTTTGACCATCCTTCAGCTCTCCTTTGCTTGTAAGTTCTCACTTCCTGTAAAGGGCTCAGTTGTATCCTCTATTTTAGTCCAATTTCTCTCCATCTTTCTGCTCTCCAAGCAAGGAAATGCTGGTTCACTCTTTCGGCCTTAAAGGGAAAGGATCTCTAAACAAATGTAATTAACCCATTTCTCTGGCTCATCGTGGCTCATTAGCCCTTATTGTCTTCATTTGGCCTCCCAGGAGCCACACATTTGTGGATGCCACCTCATCATGCTTCATTTTGAACATCTGTTTTCTCACTCCATAGCAGAGCTCTCTGATATTCTCCTCCTTCCTTGTCTAGATCTTTTTCCATTTTTGTAGCTATTCTCCCTAGTTACTCCTACAGAGACGTGAGGGACAGACACTGCTCAGAAGTGTCTTCTTCCCAGAAAGTCTTGGTCTTGCTATGGTTTGCCTCATGTTCTAAGCCCCAGAAGACAGTTGGAGTTGAAGACAGTAACTTGCAGAATATCAGTACTACCCAATCACTAATAACAAAAATGCTATAATCTTGGCAAACAAATATTAACCTATAGAATTTTAAATATAAAGGAGGTATTTTTCTAACTTTCTTACCACAGCTGACTATCTCTTCTTACACTGATATTTTGAAACATGTTGAAATCTGTAACTTTATTTGCCTTAAATAATTTTGGGTATTAGCTAGTCATTGTTTCGATGTACATGCAACACCACAGAGTTGACAAGAGTGAGCAAATGTAATAGAAAGTGTACTCCTGTTTCAGAAACACAGTGTTTCCTATCTCATCAGAGTCCTGAGCATACCAGCAGGTTTCCTGCTCTGCCATGTTCATACACAGATACATGTACACCTAAACCTAAACCAAGGGGTCTCACCCCTAGCTTCAAATAATCATGATGATTTTCAATATCTTACAAGTACTGGAAATAGTAATTCTCTATTTGTCTCTGTTCTTCTTCCACTTTTTTTTTTTTTTCAATAGGAACTCATGCAAAGTGAGAGAGACTCTGACCAATATCAGAAGTTAAAGGTTTTTCCTGAGACATCACRTTCTTTTGTCAGCACATCACCCAGCTGACATGCAATGATGGAAAATTTGCAAATCCAGTGTCACATTTAATTCCTATATGTTTTTAATTGCCATTTACATTGCAAATGTCATTAATGAAGCCTTAACAAATGCTTCACTGTAAAGAGTAGAAGGTTTACAGATACCCTCTTCAGTAAACGTAAGAACTGTGCATCTATTTTAGCTGCATGAAGACATATGCAGATATTTTTTTGTTTCACTTTTTACACCAATGAATAATTTCATGTTAATTCTGTGCACACTGAAGAAAAGAATCCCCCTTTAAAGTTCTCTTTCATTACTGTTTTCTTTTTGTACTATGTTTTATGTACTCTAAGATTTTCTTTTCACCATCAATACTTTCAACCTGAAMATGGTTTTAAATTATTAGAGGCCATGCTCAAATAACCCAAACAACCAGGTTTAACAGAAAGACAGTCACTGCTATGGGATGTCAGTTCAATATAACAGCTGCTCTGTTGCATTTTGTTACAGTGAAAATTTATATATACTGGCCAGCAGATCTTATTTACTTTGTATATGTCTGTTCAGAATTGTATGTAATTCTATGATGTGGACTCTATACATAAAAAAGTGTGTAGTGAACAATATGCTATCACAGACTGGCACATTTAAAACTGCATACATTATTAATAGCTTATGTATAATTTTATTTGTTTTCAGAGTTACAATGTTCATGAGATAATCATAGAGAACACATTATATATTGTTGTTAAACACAGTTTTGCCACAAAAAGTTGAGAGCATTGGTAGAAAATCCTATGTCAAGTTATGTGAAAATTTTTATCACCTGTAACCATAATTTCATAAAACCAATATACACTTCACGTAATATTATGTCAGCAAATTCCTTCTTTTTGCAAACAACCTTTGCCCTATACTTATGCATGTTTGTAGTTCAGTGCATCAATGCTTCCGTGTGTGTGTATGTGTGTGTTTGCAATGTACAGGAAAAGTACTAGTTTACTCCTATGGTAACTGTAAAAGTCAACAACACTGGACCCAAGAATGGTGAATTACAAGATCTTAATTTTAGCAAATAATCACCTTCATATTTTTCTATCTAATGCTGAACAAAACATTAATTGGCATTTACCTCCTAATGTTTACAGAACATAGACTGTATATTTCAAAGACATAACCTTACCAGCTATATATTGACTTTTATTTTAGTGTCTATTATATAAATTAGGACTCTGTTGAATTCTTATACTGAGGAACAAATGATAGTAACTTTATTTAAATACATGCACAGTACCGTGCACTACAGCATGATGAAGTATTATTTTTAAAATGGATGAAYGAATCAATAGAAAAATAGATTTAATAAATAATTAACATTTTAAAGTCTGGTTAAAAATGGGAAATCATGCATTTCAAGCAAAGTTTTATTTTTTCCTTGTTTTTTTTTTATGAAATCTCTGAGAACTTAAGACATGCAGAGCTGAGAAGCAGCTCACTCTGAACAAAGAACCATGTTAAGACTGCACAAAAAGTTTTGTTTGAGATTGATTATATGCAAGACTGAAAAAAGTTGCCATTCTTGGACTTCCCTTCAACATTAGACAGTGCTGTGCAAACCTCAGACAAATCCCTGTATTATGAGTTCTAAGCTGTTGGGAAGTCTCTCAGAGAGCTAAGAAAGTTAAAACCTGAGCAACTGCCTCACCAAAATTTATGACAAGAAATGTTTGGGTTCCAGATAGCAGACTACAAAAGGGTAACAGACAGTTTATCCTTTCCTTGAGAGATTAATTTAGGGGATGATTAAATTATGGATGGCATGAATTTATAACTAATTATGCCACAGAAAATTATAAGTTTAATTTTCTAATATTTAAAGTTCATATCTATGTCTCAATATTTAGAGCATGTGACTCTGTTTATCAAGTTAGGAAACAAATGAAAAGTGAGTATCTACTTGCAATTAATTTAATGTTCCTGCCTACCCCAACATTTGTCTGGACATTGACAATGTAATCAACAGAACTGTAAATTTTCAGAAGTGAGTCTACTCTAGTGAGTTTGATTAATTATGCATTAACCCATTTCTCTGAAGCATCCTTCACTAAATCTTTGGTGGGAAATGCACTTTAATTAGGCATGAGCTTTGGTTATTTGTGTGCATATGCACTTTGCTATTGGTCAATATGCAGAATGATTTAAAGTTTGCCATGTTACAAAGAAGTATTGCTCATGAAAATAATTCTAGGGTTTCAACAAACAACACTGATGGCTAGTTTTGCAAGTATTATTATCTTCACTCACCATGATTGCCTTAGTCTTACAGTTTTTGCTCAAACTTCAATCAAMTTGTAATCTTAACAAAAACTTACACAAGAACAATCATGATCATTTGAACACTGTGCATATTARATGTTTTCAGCAGGTACAGTTACTCATATACATAGGAGTTATCAGAATAAGTTACGAGATTTTAACACTTAGTTGAATAAAAATATTCTCAGGGTAGAAAGAAATGATAAACTAAAAATACAGGTTCATGAAACCTGTAATGATCTTTACTCTGAAACAGGTCAGATTGACTATTCACGTAAAGATGCTTGACTGAACCTATGGCATATGATTATTGTAGTAGAAAAAGCTGAAACAGAAAAGCGAGAAAATCAAATTACCCATGACATTCTCTTCCCATATTCCATGGCAGAATTGGCCCAGAGATTAGTAAATGGTAACGCATGCAACAAAAAATATGCTGTATCATTTTATGTAAACATCTGCTTTCATCATGCAAAATGCCTACAAAACTGTGACAACATTTTTTCTAGTAGCATAGTTTTACATCAGCTCAGCTACAGAACGGTTAAACCAAAATCCAAGGTTTTGCAAATAGAAGATATTCTAAAATTCTTGAAAGATTTCCAGCATAAATATTCCAAAGCCCAACAAAGCTATTTTTTTTTAAACTAAACTACGTAGGCTTATTCCTTGCTGTGGTTCCTTGTTCTTTTGATGATAGAAGAGAAAAGACCAGTTTTTGGAGGAGGTCCCATCAACATGGGGGCTTGGTTCTTGTGAGTAATTTTTATCTGGGGAAGAAAAGMGAAAAACAGAGTTATCCCTTGAGATAGTTCAGTACAACTATCTGAGATGTCTGAATTATCTTTACATGTAACTTCCAGACTTTCTTCACTTAATCTAAAATGAAAGGAAAATACCTGGGATTTCTTTTATGAATGATGTTCCATATTCAGCAAACCAATCTATGTGTAATTGCTTTTTTTATAAATAATTAAAATTATACACAAAATACACAGTAAAAAATGTATACAATATAATACATGCCAATATATAATCTTACTTTTTGAGTGTGGATTTATTGCTTGCTGTTGAGGAAGAATTTAAAAGTTGGAAAGGACATACATGCTATCAGACCAAGCTGTTGCCTATTATGAAGATGTAAGCTATGTCTTGATATGCTTTATTTATACATCTAATCAAGCTCTACTCTTTTACCACAGGACACTACTTAATTTCAAAACAGCCATTATGAACAAGAGTATAAAGTTAATACACAAGAAAAGGTCCAAAAAGATGAACTAGCATTCTAATTTGTTAATTAATTGTTAATAGACTACACTCAGATATTGAAAAGACTATTTAAAACACTCTGTAATACTGCTCTAAAGCCACCCGTTTTGATTTCTTTGATACAGAACTACGAATCACCTTAAATGAGACAACCTTAAAGTAGATTATGTCTGCAATTTTCTCTAATTCAAGTCTAAATTAGAGAAGACATTTTATGAATGTATGCTATGCTCAAAGCTAATTGAAAGCAATTATCAAAGTGGCATTTTGTCTGTGACTTTAAGATACATTGTAAGATAATAAATGATTCTCATTATGTAATAAAAAGGTCACATCTTGCCTTTGGGSTAGTGACGTTAAGAGTTTTTCAAAAGCAATCCGAGACATTTTCTTTAGTGAACTACGACTAATACAAGAACCATCACTTATTAAATATCAGTTGTCACCTGCATAGTACCCACATCAGAGAYGGGTATTTCTTTCAAAAAGAAACACCACCTCATTAAAAACTGGAAAAATATATCTCTTAAAGTGCATACCTGACATTTTCAAGTTAAAATGAATATCCTTCACTTGTCATTCACTAATAGTAATGAAACAAAAAATGTATGCCACGTGGAGAGGCTCATTAAAATATAGATCAGGACATTTCTTGGGGTGGAAATTTACAATACGAGAAGACAGAAACACAAAAATCTCAACAGAGTGTGTGTCTTGGTTTAACTCTATTAGAYCCTTTACTTTACACTGCAAATGCTCATTTTCATGCCACCTTAGTTCATTACCTTCAAATTTCATGTGGGACCTCTTTTTGTCAATACATTCATTAGTATTGAATATAGCATATGGGGGATTTTTGGCAATGTAGATTAATTTCACATAGATAAGAACTCTTGCTTTTAAAGACTGGAACCAATATATTTTCTCACAATAAATTATGCTTCAGGCATCRCTTTGGAAGCCAAATCTGTAGTTGGATTAAACTGGTATTATTCCATTGATGTCACTACCAGCTGATGATCTGGTCCYGGAAAATTGCCTCAAGGATTTTTGTACTTTCACATGCTTCATAAGAYATATTTTTGGGGCTCAGGAGCAGTGCTGGTATCAACCTGATCTTGAGGATCTTGCCATAAAGTAATCTACAGCTGGTGTGACTAGGTTTTCAAGTCGTAAAGGGTTTAGCTAATTTTAAGATTTGGCCATGATGTGGCAGTAGGAATGCCTTTAAAGTTTCCTTTCAGAGCTAAAACATAGAAATTCCATCTCAAAGTGAATAAAAGAGCAAAGCTCAAAAGATGACTTTAGCATGAAGGGGTGAGGTAATCCTGAGACTCTGTACAGATTGCATGTTGGGTTGGGGCTGTTCAATGCTGCTCAGGATGAATTCAGTTACATACTGAGTAAATGTTTATCATTTGTAATGTTCTTCCTTGGCTTGAGCCATCTGTTTCGGAGACCGTGACCTCTTCAGTATATTTCTTCCTATCAGCTGGGATCAGCTAACATGCCTGAACATGATTAACCACTCACATGCATAAAGATAAATCCTATATGCCTTTTTCCMAGACTTATTTTCAACTCCTATAAACTGGCAGAATTTCAATGGTGTAAAAAATATTTTACATTCTGAAAACGCTAAAATGAAGTGTAAACTTCAAGTACATTTTTTAACTTATGCATGGTAGTATCTGTTAACATTGTGAGTTTGGGTAACAAGTGACAGTGCACACTTTGAGATGGGAGGAAGCATTAAGGATCTCAGACAGAGAGATAATGTAGGTCAGAGTAGAGCTGAACATTCAAAGTGCTCTATGGGAGGACAAAAAGAGAGAGAGAGAGAGACAGAAAGAGAAAAAGAGAGAGAGAGAGAGAGAAAGAAATATAAATCTTTATTTACAAGCAATGGAGACATTTAAAGCTAAATATTCCTACTTTATGGCTGGATAAAGATTCTGTGTGTGTACACATKGAGAGAATAAAGACTAACTTTTACCATTCCATTTCTATTCCATTCAGAAAGCAACTTCATGTCTTTTTTAGTAGAAACAAACTTCTAAAAGTTTTAAACAAAACCCTTTTTAAAAATTAATTTTTTTTCCTAGATTTACCTGTAAATCTYTCTCACACACACAAGAAAAAGAGACTGCACAGACAAAATTTCAGAAAGTTAAAATCCTAACCTAATTTATKTTTAGGAACTGATGATATCTTGACAAAGATACTTGTAGAAACTTCTACAGAATTGTGGAAAACAGTTTTTGAGATCACTTGCTCAATTTTATTGAAAATATATAATAATGTGAGGGTAATATTGAGAACATTTTAAACATAAATAAAGGTGAGTACCTGAAGTGCCGCTGGAACAAAAACAAAACAAACAACTAAACAAACTTTTTTTTAAAATCCCAACCAAACAATAAAACCCCCAAAACTACAAACTACATCAACCAAAAAAACCTCCCCAAAAACAACCTCCCCAAAAACAACGAAACAAAACAAAAAAAAAAAAATTATTTGACATATTTAGCACAAATTTATATTTAAAAATGGGCAAAATCAGGAAACAACGGAATTCCACTTAGGGGATAAGTAAGTAGACACATGAATTGCTAAGATACCATGGATTTTTGTTGTAAGCCTGATCCACAACACTCTAGGCTAAACTTAAACTGTTGAAGCCAATGACAAAACTCTTRTTTACTAATTGACGCCAAGATTTTGTACCATGAGGGGTGGTATATCTAGTAAATAGGTGTAACAGAAAAATATTGCATTTGCAATTTTGAAATCACCTTTCCAGTAATAAAAGTGGGTCCAGTATATCCATGGCAAGAAACACTGGATCAAACTGAAAGCATAATTCTCAAAAGAAGAGATGGTAACATCTCCCTATATGTCAACAGAAAATTTTCTGATGAAAAGGCCTGAATTTTTGGCATTAAAGATACTGACAAGTGCATAAACTCAGCATTTATTTGTTTCAGGAGCAGGTCAGAGTTTCAAAATATGCCTTAAAGCCACATTAATACAATGCATCCACTCAATGAAATACAGTGGGCATCACTAATTTTAGCAGGATAACAATGTCTTTTAGGTCAGTCAGTTTGTCTTTCATGTTCCTTTTTGTGCAGTTATCTTCATGCTCCTGACYTCTCAGAATGCTTAAATATTTACTATTTACTACTTTGGAAAATATGGTGCCACAAATTCAGATACCAAAGTATTGTGCTCACTGACAAGTAGAAAACTAGAAACAGAGCTAATCAGTTCTGCTTATAATATTTCAATTAATGTTAAAGAACATATTAATGTATTTTAAAGAGAGGGGTAAAAAACTGCCAGAAAAAAAACCCAACCTTATCCAGCTGGATATTTTAGTTTACGGTCACTTTTTTCCATGTTCTCAGCAGGGTTTAGATGCTGTTTGTTTTGAGGGTATGAGGATTTTCTCACAGTGTAGATGCCCAGGAACTACAGGAACTAGAGGAATGAATCACCTCTATAGCACAGAAGTGCAAATACTTTTATCTCTCCTTGGGTGATCAAGAATGTATGGGGTATCATGATATGAATCAGACTGATAGAATGTAGGCAGTGCTGAACAAAATTAACCTGTGACTTGCATTATGTGGCATTTCGGACAAAATCTCACAGATCTAAACCAGTTGTTTTAAAAGCATTATGCAACACACCTCAAATAAATTTCTAAACAATATTATTGTGCAAAGCGCAATCAAATCTAATCAGTTTGGCATTAATTAAGYTCTAATAATATACTCTAGTCTCTCCTAAGTAGTGTGATCCGTTTCCCCTTCACACAGGTAGATTGGAAAACGTTACGGTGTCATCATAATTTTTAAACATACTGAGAAAATGACAGAGCTGCAAAATTAAAATAAATGATTAATGGCATTTTTTTCATGTTTTGTACTAATAGGTATCACTGAGGTTTTAAATTAATAGAGCTGTCAGCTCGGGGTTGTTACAGATCCAGTGCAGAACTAAAATGGAAATTATRTATTCCACAGATACCTAAAGATGACACTTTGGAATATTTTAAATTTTAATTAGTAGGTGCAATTGTTTTTCCCCCYCCTCCCTAAAACCACTGCAAATTAATTGGCAATTAGTCACAACTAATTCTTTTCTTAACAATATGAACTGGAAAGAAAGGTGCATTACATGTGAGAGTATTTGTCTGGGGTGCAGAAAGCACACATGCAGTAAATTGCTTTGTCAATTACAAAAACTACTGTAGTGAAATTAGGAAAAAAATATGCATACATAAACAAAAATAATTAAAGTGCAGTGTACCTGTGACCACAAAAAATAAAGCTCGGCTCCAGAATAAAATATTAGAAACACAATAAATTAATCTGGCCTTGGAACAGAAATATATGCACACTGCTACTCAAAAGGGAAAAAAAAATGTAGCATTTTTGTGTAACACCAAAAGTCTTTTCTAGTTACTGACTTCCATTTATAGGTTAACTGTGCAGTAATTGGTAACTGTGTAGAATAATATTCTACTGAAATTAGCCACCATATCTAGGACCCAGCTCCTCTTTACTCTAAAGTGGCAGAACAGTAGCTTAAATTCTCTCATTATAAACAACTGATAAAAAAATACTTGTATMGCCAGAGGCTTGGAAAGAGGATACCTGAGAGAGTCTAGAATAGAGCTGCAGTTTCTTCATGAGGTGTGTGGGGTAATGGAGACAATGGATCTATAAAAAAGCACATCTGTAACTCCTTTRGTTTTCTCACCTAGCTCTGGCACATAGTGGTTATTAATAAAAGCTTGGCTAGGTTTGTCTTGTTAAAAGTTCTTGTTTCTCTCTGGATTCAACCATAGGACAGCAGGATCTCTGTGCCCTGGCTCATCACATCTCTAGCGACTAAAGGAAAAACTAGAGAGAAACCACTAATTCAAAACTTATTTTTAAGGTGCATTCACATAATAATATTTTGAAATACTAATTTTGWGTAACATTATTACATGACTTCAAGTTTTTATATCAATAAACAATTATAAAAATTCTGTGTCTCACATATCTATGAAACTGTTTCTGGCAATCCAGTAGATGAGCTCTGACTASAGATTTTTATTTTTGTTTCTTTATTTAAGCAATACTCTTGCATCTTCTATTGACATTTCTGTCTTCTGCTTTCAGTATAGTGTTTCTATAAGCTTTTCACTCTTTCAGATACCATGCCAAGCAAGTCAGGAATAGATGAAAGAACTGAAATTGCAGTTATTTCTAATTAAGATGGAACATTGTTATAGATTTTTTCAAAACATTGCTAATAATTTATGTAGCTAAATTGAAAGATTACTTTTCTTAAAAAAAAAAACAAAACAAAAACCCTGATGGCTAAAGCTAGAAGTTTATTGAATTAACTTGAGAGTCTTTGAAGTTTCATTACTATTAATGACCTGTTTGGAGATCAGGTGAAACCATAGATATCTTTCATGTTGCTATATTTGTCTGGGCGAGCTCTGATAGAATTTCCTCTTCAGCTAATYGGACAAGATGTTTAACATAACATTAACATTATCATCTTTCCTTCTCCCAAAGRCTCTCCTATAAAAAAAACAGTGAAAACAATACAATTTGATGCTCAGATGCTTGATCTTATTACACCAGAGCTGAGTGGCATCTTAAACACTGCAGTCTGCATGTGTTCAACACACTGAATAATTCTGGATGGCAGATTTTTAGACCAAGCCACTCACACTTTTCAGTATGCACAGAWCCTACAGGAATGCATACCTGCTCTCACCTTGGGATGCCAGGTGCATAAGCAATAGTTCATAAAAGATTTTAAAAGAAACACACAGCAATTTKTTTACTCCTAAAATTGATCATAGCTCACAGCTTCTGGAGAATCACTGCATTATCTRACACATCCCAAACTTTTTTTTTCCAGTCAGAAAGGAGAAGCAGCAAAGAGAAACATGTTGATTCCTTCAACAGGAAGTAAATTTATAACACTGCATGTGCAGGCTGCATCCTATGCATAATGGGGATTTGATGCAGAACTTCTTTTCCTTAAAGGCATAATATAACAATCATTTGGAAAATACTCTCATTGATATAAAAACCTGAAACAAGCCAGAAATGTGCTTTTGATCTTAAGTACTTGCAACCTGGGCAAGAGTTTTTCAATACCTGCTGATTCTATGAATTTGTTTCTCAGTCTCTGTAATATTTACAGATCAATCCTTAAAACTACTGATCTTAGATGGCACTAAGATGACCATACCAAAAATAAAGTTCATTATTTCAGCTTCATTAAGGATAGTTGAAGGGGAAAAGATAGAAGTTTTCTGTTTATTTTATTTTTTTTTGTTTGTTTTATGTTTTTTTGTTGTTTTTGTTTAGTTTTGTTTTCTGTTTTTTTTGTTTGTTTGTTTGTGGTTTTTTTTTTTGTTTGTTTGGTTTTCTTTAACAATAGCTTTCTGCCTGGAACACCAAAGAATAAAAAACATGAGGCTCAGTGGCTGTGTCTCACTGATGCACTGACCTCTCTCCCCTAAATCCAGTGAGATGGAATTACCAAACATAACTGTAGCTTTTTTCCTTCAAACAACATAGATAGTAAACTAATAAATGCCTTGCCTCAGCATCCTACTGTGGACAAAGAGGCAGCATGGGAATGTCTCCCCATCGCAGTGTACAGTGGAGCAATGGAAGCTTCTTTATACAGAGGCCTCAATTTCATGTGAGARCTATGGAAAGAAACTTCCTAGCAGGTGAAATAAAAGGAAAGCCAAGCTTTCACACGTGTCCTAAGGAACTAAACTTATGGAGTCCTTTATCTGGCCATCATGATTTTTTTTTTTTTCACTTAAAAATGGGCCAATAATAATTTGCTTTCATTTTGGGAGAAAAATGCAGTCTTTTCATAAACAGGACAAACTCCATGTTTTTATTTTTGGCCTCCTTATATTGTTTTCTGAAATTTGAGCCCTTGCTGGCTCAAATGACTGACTACATAGTTGACTAAGCCTAAAGAATTATTTTGATTTTATGAGGGTTTTGTATGGACTCTGATTTGGATACACATCACAGATATCACCCTGGTATTTATGTGATCAAGTATGCTTCGGCTTCCAAAGAAAGACCCCTGTAAAGCACAAACTCAGAAATCAAATCATGATCTTTGGTTGAGAGAAAGCTAATACCTATGTTTGTCACTATCTAAAGAATTCCTAGGTAGAATGAATGAAGTTTGCAGAGAATGTCAAGAAAAAAAAACTCTACTGCATTTAGAATTAATAGGGATGAAAGAGATTGGACCATAAATGTTTTTTCCTTTGTTAGATGTAGAAAACGGAGAGGGATGCATATACAGCAATGCAAGGAGCCATTGCAATAAATAATGAAGTTCCTCAGCAGAAAAAAAAAAAACAAAACCAAAAAGAATAAAACAACAAAAAATTAATATTTCTATATCTAAACTCATGGAAGTGCATTGGTATAGACAAATAGTTAATGTCTTCTTTCCTCAGTGGAAACAAGTACATTCAACAGCATGGCTTTCTTACACAGGGCCAAGTGTATTATCATAACAATGGTAKAGCAAGAAGAACAGGTCCCAGAGAAAAGTACATGACATTTCCATCCCCTTGAACACTGGACAGCAGTAATTGTCTGTAGCAATTTACTGTTTCCACAGGGCAGTAATTGAAATGTAAGAACTGTTTCTTTTCCCAGGTTTGTTCTCAACTGCACAGGCAGCTTCTGCTAACATTATCAATCAGATAGCAGGGATTTTGCACAGAGCAAGCATCAGGACAAAAAAAAAAAAAAAAAAAAAAAAAAAAAAAAAAGGCACATGTTATTGCCAGCATCCTTCCATAAGTTCTTTTCTGTAATCTGGCAACTGAAAAATTACACATCTTTTTCCTGAAAAAGTGACTGCTGAATTCAGTACTGTTGCTCTGCACTGAGGCATCATTGTAGAAGAGGTAAAGATAATGGTATCTCTTAATTCTAAAATGTTTCCTGTAACAAATCTCATAAAATCCCTACTGTTCTGCTTTCACACAGTATGTGTTCATRTGGTTCTGCTCAACCTGAGCACTTCCCTAAGGATTAAGAATTCAGCACCCTTCATGCTGTTCAGCTTMACATTGTGGTGCATCTGATGAACATGAACCACCACAACCCTCTTCTCTCATCCCAACCCATACAGCATCAGTTCCACATCTATTAGCACCTTACTCAATGCTGTACCTTTTATTTCTTTGTATAACTTTTAATTCTACCACAGACACGAAGCTCATGAAAGTAATCAAGTACCCTTTTTTGGAAAATTACCCCCATTTTTTGTGGGATTTCTTYCTTGTTAAAATACTGTTTGGACACATTTACAAGCTGCAAGGCTACAGCACAYCATCTACTTTAAAACACAGGTCTTCTTCAGGGAAACAAAATTAATAGAACTATATAGTAAAACATGTTACTAAGATTATACAGGACAATAAAGAACCTGGATTTCTTCAACCTCTTCTGTGAATGCTTGGTTAGCGTCTAATTTATTGGAGAGAGATGAAAATGGAGAGTTCTTACAAATACACCTTTTCTTGCATTGTCTGTATACAGTTACTCAAAGAACCTTCTTTGAGAAATATCCTACCCTACCCTACCCTACCCTACCCTATCCAGACTGATGTTTACCTGCCCTCACCTTGTATGTGGGGGTACTGAAACAAGAAATGAATTAATTTCCTTTATTTCTCCCTTAAACAGTAAGGACTTAAAAAAAAAAAAAAAAATTAGCCCTACGGTAATCAGCACAGTTAAGATTTCAGCTTTAATTAAAACTTTCTTGATAAGATCTCTCAAAAACATAACAGAAAACCTTCCTAATTTTTAAAGACTAATATTATTACTTTATACGTTTTACCATCAAAACAAACATTGAATTTTCCTCAGTAATAGAGACTCTAAATCTGATAYATCATCATAAGGAAATTATCATATTGGGTAAAGGAAAACTGAGACTGAACTCTTCAAGTATTTTCCAAATTTCTGAAATAAATACCTTTTTATTCCATTCTAACCTGTGGTTGAAATCAGAATAATAAATTGAAAATGCAGGGGGTGTTGAAGTATATAAAACCAGTCTGTGATGATGCTAAGTAAATTGAGGTAATGCTGATGAAAATGGTTGTCTTTTAAACAAAAGAGAAATATTTCTATCATTAAAAAAGAAAAAAAGAAAAAAAAAATCAGTTGCAATTACCGTGCAAGGAGTTTGCATCCAAGGTTCTCCGTCTATCTGCATAGGCAGAGACTTGCTGGTCCTAAAGGTACAAATTTCATAACATAAGAAAGAAATAGCAGACAAAACTGATGAATGTATTTATTAAAAAAGCATATATGTGATGGCATACAGATTTAACCCTGATTTACCCCTAAACTCCTATGAAATTTCCACTATGACTCAACTTGATKACAGAAGTAGCAGAGTCAACTTAGGAAGCTTGGTCTGATTTCCAACACACAAAATAAAAGCATGGCAAAATTTCATGTATCTCACTAGTAATGCACTTCTCTTTCATGCAAGAAGAGTCTGTAATTTGTGAAATAAAGAGTGAATTACACAATAACTCCAGGAACAAACCTTATTAACAGAAAATACAAAAAAAAAATCTGCTTTTTAAAATATTTTAGACTATRCTAGTATATAATATATATATATTATACTACTATAAAGGAAACAAGAAATACATTTTAAGTCTATTATCACCATTTACTAGAACTACTGTGTCTAACTCTAAGTCAGACAGAACACTCACAGAGAACGAGATTTGCACTATACTCAGAGTGTTTAACATGCCACTCTATCAATGTAAATTGTAAAGGGGCACTGATTTCAACATCAATATTGACACAGAATTCCCTCTCTAGTTCTGGATGCCTCATTAAAAAAAGCATAGAAAAAGGACAACAGAAAAAAAAAAATACTATGTTTTTGGTCTTTTCCAACCCTGTATTTCTGCATTTTAATGGTTTGCAAGAAAGACCATTAAAAATAGCGTGGAGTGGATAAATCTAAAAATGGAAAAATTAGTCAACTGCACACTTATGTTGGTCAATGGGAATTCTGGTTTGGACATCATTATTTGAAAACAACTAACAGTCCATGGAATTATCCACTGTCATCTATGGCCATAAATGGAGGAAGGGAAGAATGTTTAATGAATTCCCACTTTGTAGTTCAGGAAGGGTTCCTACTTATTCTCTTAAATTTTTTATTGTTGCTTTTCTGTTTTAGGCTTATTATTGCAGAGCTTATGGGTTTAATAAATTTGGGAAAATTCTTCCTGAGGAATTCTTCACTGAAGAAGAGAGAGATGGTCAATTCTTTTTCAGTCTTTACTTAATCTAAAAGTTAGAATAATTACTTTTTCCTTGTGTTCTAATACAAGTTTACTCTATTATGAATGTTCTTATCTTACAAATGATAAAGTACAATGAAATTAGAGTACTCCACCATCATCAGCTCCCACATATCAACAGATTTAATAATAGTGGCTTGTCACAATTCAGTAAATAACAAATAAATTAAAACCAGAGCACTTTGACTTCCACAGATCAAAAAGTGCTTTACAATTACTAATTACATGCTACTATTCCCTGGTGAGGTATGCATTATAAATGGGTTAAAATGTGACAAAGTAATGCTAAATTACTTTTGGCTTGAAATTGCATGAGTGTATGTCAACAATAAACCCCAAGATGCTCATGCCTTATTCCTTCTGCTCCAAATGCTTGACAATACTTCTTCATAGGWCAAAATGACACTTGAATATAACATGTGAAGATTGAATGTAAACACCCTTTTTTTRGTTTTTTCACATTTAAAGAAAAGAAGATGTAAGGGCGTAGAAGATGGATGGAATAGACTCCTTTTCATTTACAAAAACGATGCTTTCATAAGAAACAATAATTACACTTATGACTGTTAAACTACAAAAGAAATCAACTGGCAAYATTTAAAACTCTACAGTTTCACCACAATAGTGCAGTGTAAATWAAAGCTGCTGATACCTGATGACAACAGATGAGCACTGGGCAAGCCGCCTTCCAGCACTTTTCAGACCTGTGTATATCTGTCCCATCTCCATGGCTCCTTCCAGACCGACCACTTCCATTAGCTGGTCACTCAGATCTGCAAAAGTTGAAAAAAAGCCACATTTTTTTTCTAGATGGTATTTTGAAAGCACTCATACTGACCAACAAGAACTGCCAGAAGACAAGCTGATAATAAAAGATRTGGAGAGAGGAACTGGCAAAAGTGATCGTTCCTACGAAGAATTACAGTTTTAAGTGGGACACAACTGGGCCCTGCTGTCACATGGCTCTACAATATTGTGACCAAAATTATTCTGAAATATAATTATATYCATGATTGATTTTAATACATAAAGACTGAACAAATAGTATCATTATGTGAGAAAATAGGAGAGATTCCTTGATTTCAGTTACCTGACACACAGAGAATGAAATGTTTGCTRTTTATTGTTTTAACAGCTATTTAAAATCCATAAAGAAAATGTCAGTGCTCCAGACCCTACTGGATTCTCTTCTACACAGTACTTTCCAGACAATGGGCATAACTAAGCCTTTACATGCATGCATAATTCTTATGAGACTATTATTTTTTTTTTTTTTGCAATTGGATCAGTGTCTTAATTAGTACACAGATGCAATGCAAAAAGGAAGAAAAACACCTTATTTCAGTAACTGTCCACCCAGCCTTCCTGAACTTTGTAGTGCTTGTTTGCACTCAGTTAGATATTTTTTGTTTCACACTTCGTTTTGACTAAATAGTACTTTGGCATTAAACTTAAAAAAAATATTTAAATAAATATTAGTTTGCTTGACTTCAAGGAGCAAGGACAAATTCTGTCTAGAATTTCAGGTACAAACAGAAATCTAAACAGTAATAAGCAGTCTGTTTTGAGAAGCAACCAAGCAAGGTAATGAAATATTATCCAGAATCAACTAGGGTGTTTTGTATGTAATGTTTTATATGCTCCTGTGTAAATACATGTTGCCAAGGCCAAATGGGCAAGAAAAAGAAACATTTCTTTTCTAGCTGTATAATATGTGTGTTTTATAAATTGGCTGTTAACATCGATGTTTCCAAAAGCTACATTATTCAGTGAAGCAAAGCAATGTTAGAGTCTTTCATCACACTGAAAAAAACAAAGAGACCACATTACTTTGTATATTTTAAACCCCTCAACCTTTRATGAAGGTAAAATTTCATGCTAACAATCATATCTATGAGGCTATTCCAAAGTTTCAATGGGAGTCTTTTCTGTTCACTTCTTTGGGCCTTCAATGAAGGTAATTAACTGAAAGAAGTACTGTGATGAGGGGAAAAAAATATTAAAAGCAAATAGGATTTATGATCTGGATTATTCTGCTTYCAACTAGAAAATCTGATACTATCCAAAGCCTTCATTTTTCTTGTTATGCTTTCTTAATATTTTCTATATTCATTTTCTCATCACAGTGAAACCAGTTTCATATAATATTAATGAAGAAAAAAATAAACAATGCTCTTTCCCATTAAGGGAAAACAATAAGATAGTCAAAACTTTAAAACATACAATACAATTAATTTTAACTATACCGTTTTATAGTTTGCTTCCCTATAACACATGTAAGTCCAATTTTGTATGTCTGGCTTTCTACTGCATCTTATTTTTCTTAAAATGTTTCCTATAAGTAACTTACACTTAAACTTAACTGTGATTTAAACAAATGCTGCTTTTCTTGGTAGCCACAGAGATCTAGCTGGGAAAGCACCACACATTTTCAAAAGTTAYTGTATTATAAAAACACACAGAACGTTATAGATGTACTAAATCATTAAAAGGTTTAGCCAAAGAAAGCATCAAATTCCTATTTACTGGGCTATTAGAAAAATATTATTTTTTAAAGGGAAGAATAATTGAGAACAGATTTTTATTTCTAACAGCTCAGGCAACATGTGCAAGATTCAGAGTAGTGGCATTTGCAGAGATATATATTTGATAAATCATTTTCCAATAACTTTGAGATCAATGTCAGTAGCAGCAGGTAACTATGGGCCAAATCCTGCCCTTTGACCTACAYCACATTTCTCAAAAAATGTGGTATATTAAACACTGGAAGTTGGAACTGAACAATATTTACCAAAAAAGTTAAGCCCTTTCAAAAACGTCACATTTGCAGTGGCACGTTCCCAAAGTGGAGTTATTTTAGGCCAAATATGAATATTTTTAGAATCAAGCTTAAATTARACATAACTTCTTCAGAAGCAAAAAGAAGTAAAAAACTAAAGCAAATGTAACATGCAGTTATTGACTGCATTAGWTCACGCTCCTGCCCTTGCACGGTGCTTTTGCACGGTCATATCCATTTCAACAAATCCTTGAGATATATTGACTTTGATAAGAACTCGAGTGAAAAGKGGAAAAGGGAGTGTATCTATTTTAGTCCCACCCTTCAATGATGTTACATGAAGGTGTAAGGTGTTTGAATATAAAGAATCAAGATATCAACGAATGGATATTTCTTCTTAAAAGGTTGCCACCATAAACTCTGAAGGAGACTAAACTTTGTTAAAGGGGATCTGATCTTCTATTAAATTAAAAGATAGGAAAGGGGAAGTCATTCTTCATTCTGGTGGAAGTTTATCTCTGATTTTTCAGAAAGATTAGTGTGTGAACCTCTGCACTGCTCAACACATACCCCAAAATAATCTCGAAATAGAAGCAGGTAGTGACTACTGAGGATTCAACAAAGGAAAAAGAAAACCCAATTATAAAAAAAAATTTAGGAATTTTACAGTACTGAGTAACGGGGCTTTAAAAAGGCAGAAAGTTCAATATATGTAACTTCRTGACCATGAGGAGAAAGAGCTAACTACAGAAGTAGACTGTTATATGCACATATATAACAACTGGAAATAAATATGGTGCGTGTGTGTCTCCATGTGCATATGCTTACTTTGCTGGACTACAATYGATRCTRTCATACAGAAATGAACAYWGTGGAGTTAYTCTGGTGAGTTCTATGAAAATATCAGYTCAACGTTCAATTTACGATCATCTACATCCATAAAGTATGGAATTTTTAGTTCCAGTTTACTCAGCAATGCAGAGGAAGAAAAATAAAATACCTGGAAATGAATAAATGCATAAACAAATATGGAGCAACCTCTGTATGAAAGAAGTAAGGAGACGAATGAAGAGGAGAAAATAATAAGAGCAATGGACTAGGTGAAGAGAGTAATGTAATTCAGTATTTCTCAAAATGCAAGAACCAAKGAGTTTCATAGCACTTCTAGACAAGCAGGAAATTCTTTTTACATAATACTTAATTATGCCATGACTCTGAACTTTGAAATTACTTAAGACAAAAATGATAGATGTTCGGTAGGATATCCTAACAGAAAAGAATCATTGTAAGCTCTCTTTTGCTTTATATCTAATACAGGTTGGTTGATGTTAGAGGTTGGATACTGAGCTACACAAACTCGTGGGTTGACAGTATCACTATTATTGTTGACTTCGTACATATCTTATAAATTGTAGTGGAGAATAATGAATGCTTTGCTCACTAAATATAATTCCTCACTTAATACTTATAACATATAAGCTTATAATGTGCACTTTCCTATGACAAGTATCTCTAATGCATTTCAGACCTCATTGAGAAAGTAACTTTTTTTGATCCTCAAATTATATTCTTAAATTACAGGCTCGTGTGCATCTGTGTCTCTACCAACTRTAAAGCACAAAACTGTATCTCTTTTTAGGGATATATTACTTTCTTGTACTTCTTCTACATCCTACAGATTTTATTCTAAAGTGAAATAATTGGTGCTGCACTGATAAAATTTTCCAATGCATGTTTTACCTATTTTAACTAGTTTTACAAAGTTTAGCTTTAGGTAACTGACGGTTAAATTTTCAAGAAGAATTTCACAGCTAACAGTGAACAAAAGCAACTGTCAGATACTGAGCAGTTTTTCTTTCTGACCAGTTCACTTAGTTGCCTAAAGGAGAGCTGAAGTCTCATAGGTAAGCTATCACCGAGAGCATCTCAGTATTAGTCCATTAGGAAAGTGTTTTTTGACTGGTGCCTTGGGGTTCCTGAGTCCGTTTGTTCTACTTTGAGCTCTGTGAAAGAGCTGAAGGCTCTGGCTTGTTTTCTATGTGAATGAGCCATTAGAGTGTGTGGGAATGTTTTCACAGCACCATGTCTCTCCTGCCCTCTTCCACAAACCAAAGTACTTCACGTGTCTCCTCATATTAGCCCTGTCAGTAAACAAAGCCGGCTCTCCCAGGGGAGCTCTGCTGTCAGCAGAYGGTGACTCGAATTCGGAGGGGCATCTGACCCCTTGCACTCATTCCTGATGGAGAGATAAAGTCACTAGGGAGCTGACTGCCCATTTCTTCCCATCAGGCAGCAGAAGAAAGAGAAGTTCAAACAGAAACTTGCACAAGTGGCAGACAAAACATTGTATGTGACTATTAAGCCCTTTATAGCCCTTCCCAAGGCATGAAGAAACACACTTGGAGACTTTAAAGTTTCATAATGAGTTTACGTTATCCATTATCTTGGCATTAGCTAAATGCTTCAATGTTCGAAGTGAACACACAAGAGAAAAACACATTTGGAATTCATCTATGAAGATAAAGCAAGGAAAGCAAAATGGGTTAGGGGGWGGGTGGGAAGAAACATGTTGTGATTAGAAAAACTGATTTACATAGAGAACTTTCCTCTGTAATGGAACTGGTTTTGATGTCCAATTTATCTTTGCAATATATAAATATTGCTGTCCTGGCAAGAGATTGAATGACTCTATTATAACTTGGGGTTAGTGCACTCACTCAGGCACATTTGCATAAAAACACTGTTGGTCAGTGGTAAATCTGTCTCTGGCAGCAGTTTGTCTTCGAAGAGAAGGGGCTCCATAGCTTACTAAATGTAATCAAACCCTAGTAATCATCATGCTGGAAATTTTTTGGTTCCAGTTAAAATACTGGATAAGAATTTGAAAGCTGATATGATGCCAGAGGATCCTTGAAAAACTCCCAAGCTCAGTGCTCTGCACCACATGAATGCTTCAGTATCTTCCTAGAACACAGCATGTATTAAATCTCCAGT